TGTGTGTGTGTGTGTGTGTGTGTGTGTGTGTGTGTGTGTGTGTGTGTCTTTAGATGAAGTGGCTCGTCGCTTTGCGTCGGCAAACAACACGCAGAACAAGTTGCAACTGAATTAAGTACACTTTTCTTCACCATAATTATACTTTGCAATAATTATATTTCTCGGCAACTTGGCTGGTTGTGCATCTGTTCCGTATTCCGTTTGAGGATCTCCTACACTTTGCGACCAAATAGATGGTGTTCAATAAAATATGCGATAAAACATGTAAATAGCTTTAAAATTGAGTTTAGCTTCGCATACGGAAGGTATGCGTTCATCTTGCAAATCACGATCCAATGTATTCTCCCAATGCAATTTACCACACGAATGTACAAATAAGAATCACTTTATCGAAAATAAAATTAAACTTCTTGCACTCCGCCCTTCTTTTTTTCGATGTGTTTAACATAATTTTAGGTACCAACATCGACAAATTCGTTAGTTGCTTTAATGAATATGGTTGAAAATTGGCGCGCAAAAACTGATTATGGACCCGTTTGTGTTGTTTCACCGTAAGTATAATAATTTCGTTCCCATTTTCGTGTGCGTGTGTTGATTATAGCACGATGCAATGTCGAAGCAGTTCGACGAGCAGATGCTATTTACTTGCATTTTAATTTCAATAAAGCTTTGATTTTGTGCTTAAGTATATGTTCAAATCAATTGAATTATGTATGTTTTTAACAGCGATGGACGAAGCCGAGCCGGTGTTTATTGTGCAGCCAATGCATGCATCGAACAGGTGATACAGCATGGAGAGGTCGATGTTTTCCAAGCCGCAAAAACTGTTCGACGACATCGACCGCAACTTATCGAAAATATGGTAAATCAATCAAACAATTTACGCAAATGGCATGACACACATGCTCGAGCATTTGGTGCACTGTGTAATATAAATTGAAAATATGTTTTCCATGCTATAATGACTATTACTACCGTATTTCATTTTCCATTCATATTTTAAAATGCTTCGTTTTCAGACCGAATATAAATACTGCTACGACTTGGTGTTACACTACGTTCTGCACTATTTAAATAAGGATTTGAAGGAGAAAAAGTGAGAAAACGAATTACACGACGGCCTGTGGTGAGAAATCCATTTCATTCTTTTCATATTTGTTCGTTTGCGTCTTGTTAATTATTAAAATTATGCGGTTATTATGGATTGCAGGTTTATCGAATTCGGGAGGGGCAAGGCAATTCCATTGACACCGGATTCGTCGAATGCCGATCTACCTGGCGAAATATCAAACACAGGCAAAATTGTCGTGAAAAAACGTATTGCAAAAATTGAAAAGACCGACAGTATACAAGTGTATGACAAAGAAAGTAATCGCATGCTGAATGGCAAAATGATGCAACGCAAAAAGAAAGGTCGATTGTACAGTTTGGGCGGCAATGAGCAGCCCAAGCGAGCTACACGCGGCCGTTTGGATCGCCTTAAGACGGTTGGAACATTTGATTTGGGCAATGAAATGGTACTGAACGAAGTGGCACGAAATCTCAATGAACAAATCAGTTGCGGTGCAATCGATGAAAATGGCGATGGTAGCGTGTCGGAACGAATACAAGCCCGGCGAATGAGCGCAAATGCTCTACTAGCCGGTGCTGGTAGCGTTGAACCACACGCATCGGCTGAACATCGATTGAGCTACACACCAGGCCCATGCCGTAGAGAAATTCAGAAAAGCGGTTTGGCCAAACGGATGGCCAGCCGTGATTCAAAGCATCCAGGTGGTTCGGGTACATCGTCACCGGGTGCACGTCGACTGCATTCGAGTGCATCATCGTCGTCGAGCAATCAACCAAATGTGCCAACACAACATTCAGCCGATGACTGCTTAGAGAAAACGAAACCGTTTGTTGATCACCGAAAATCACGCAGTTCCAGCACAAGTACCATTTTAAATCGAGTCGATGGCGATCCAAAGCACTCGGGTGCCTTTTATAAAAAATCACCCAGCAAACATTTGCCAGCCACCAATTTTATTAAGAAAAGCGATTACAAAACCCGATCGATGACAAAAAATGTCGAGAGTAGCATTGACAAGATGACAGCGCATGGTGAAGAAACGGTGCCAGCGTCCAAAGTACAAGAAGAAGTGGAAAGGGAAGAAGGTGATCAAATTGCTCGGCAGAAAGAATTGGAGGTTAAAGAAACAGCGCAGGAGGCAGAAACAGTCGAGAGAAAAGAAGAAAAACCATTTGAAAAGAGCGAATCGGTTGAAACGGCTGCATCTGATACAAATCAAGCTGATGAATCCAACGTTCCCGAAGAAATAATGACGGACGAATGTGTGTACAAACCACGAAAACCAATGCTGAGAAAATCCAAACGAATCGTTCGAACCGACTCGGAGGAACTGTTTGACGAGGCCAATTACGGTGCGAGTCATGATGGTGGTGGTGTTCATCAAACGACTCGCGTCCAAATTCACAATGTACCATCAAGCTACGATGAACCGCAAACGAGACAAAACGATGTCCAAAAAGGCGATGATGACGAAAAAGCCGAAGCGCGAAAAGAGGACGACAGCGAAAAAGAGTGCGGGCAAAGGGAGAAGGAATCGAGCGATTTGGACGAAGCGTCGATGCCACGTGATCCATTGAAATCCACAACAACGAACAGTTCACGCAACATATCGGTCGATGAGGCAGACACAGTGTTCTCCGATTCGACAAACGATCTGGAAAAAATGGAACGTGACTATCGTGAATTGGCCCGATCGAATTTACAACGTGAGTACAAAAGTGATGGTGACACACTGGACGAAGTGGGTAAAAAACGGAACGATTTTCAAAATTGGAAAAATCAAAGCTTTGAAACGAATTTCGAAATATATGGCCAGCAATCGGGTGGTGGAATTAGCCAAAGTGCTGATTATATGGAAGATCCGGATAAAATTGAAGTGTTGGAGCGTCGAGAAAGTTTTGGTGCGGTGCTGAGTATCAGTGAAGATTTGCCAAAATTGGATGTTGAAATTGAGGGCGATGGCGCACCAAGTGCCAACTTATCGGGAATTTGTAGCCCTGCCAGTCATGTTACGATCAGCACGACAAATAGCAGTGACACCAGCTGTACGAAGCGTATCAAAGAAATTGCGAATTTCTTCGCGCCCATCGGTACAAATTATTCGAAAGACAATTTATCGCAGCGAGGAGGAGAGAGCGACGGAAGTACATTGACGAGTCCGTTGAAAGTAGCAAACAGTACGCATTCATCATCGTCCGATCAGAAGCACAATTCAAATGCGACGCTAAACAGTACGGTGAATCCGCCGCCATCGCCGTGTCAGCGACCCACCAAATTGGATATTGTACAGACGGATGCACAACAACCAATGGCCACCGCAACATCGACCGCGAAAGAGGGTACATTTATGAGTTTATTCGAAAAACGTTTCGGTAAATTCAAAAAAATCAACAAACTGTTGAAAACGAAACGATTCAGTGCATCGGCACTGTACGATAAACCAAAAGAGCCGATCAAAGCAAAATCCGTAGATAATCCGACGCCGTCAACATCACACGCACCGTTGCCATCGTCCAGTGCGAATCAACAGTCAGCGACGGCTGCACAAGCTCACGAAAAGTCTGAATCATCATCGAAACTATTTCGTTCACGTTTTAGCCCCGGCAAATCCAGCAATTCCGATTCGAAAAGCAGCGTTTACTCATCGAAACTGTCATTATTTAGTCAAATTGCAAACAAAAGCTCAATATTCCATAAAAAATCGCCCATGTTTTCGAATTCATCGCGTTCGAACACCGAATTAAATACAAATACACGCACAAACAGCAAAACACGACTAAATGAATTCTCCAAATCGAATTCTGAAATCAATAAATACAAAACGAGTCCGATGCGCTTCAGTATGAAGCGTTCGATGAAAGAGAAAAAACCGAGTAGTTCAACGTGTGTGTACACCGAACCCACTCATTCGCCATTGTCGGAGGAATTTTACAATAAAACCGGAAGCGTTCGATTAAGCGCAATTGAACTGTATCATAAATTTATGCTCGAAGATTTTGTCGGTTTGTACAAACAAGAGCCGTTCACTGCAGACGATTTAAATGGAACGTACGATAGTCATTATGATTATCGAAAACGATATGCACGCGGCAAAAGTCGGCTGTTGAAACAGAAAAGCGAACCGAAGTTCACATTCCGAGGCGATCCAACCGACTACGATCCAAGAGAAGGTATGTGCACATACATGACAATAAATCTAACAGAGATAGAGAGAGAGAGTGAGAGACAATTACTTTCTATAATTTTCAATCACTTTGCTTTCATTTTGGCCCTCGCTTTAATTTGATTATCTCTATCTCTTTTTACCATGGCAACACCTGCAGAGGACGAAGATTTCTACGAAGAGGAATTTTCGGACGAATATTTCGACGAGTATGAGGGTGAAGAATGCGAATTTGAGGATGAGTACGATATGGAGGACATGGAAGATATGGAAGAAATGGATATGGAAGATGAAAAGGTATTTTGAGCCAAAATTCAACAAATGTTTTAAACCCAAAAAAGAAAAACTAATTTGAAATGTTTACGTGTTTTTGCGATGTAGGACGATGACCAGCGAGCATATCAGTCGGAAAGTGATGTCGACGAGATATTTTTGATGCCGGAAGGTAGCAAGTGCAGCGATTACGAGTATGAGCAATATGGTTTTGAGAATAAGCACTTTTCGATGGAACATTCGTTGGTGTCTCGTTTGTCTGGTGCCGAGCATGATCTGGGTGTTATCGATGAAATTCCATATTTGGATGAGGTGCAACCACAATTTGCATATGTGACCGAACAAACGCCGGAATGTGATGAAGTATTAACCATTTATAAAATATGTTCTTCCGATGATTTATTGACCGTCAAAGAGGAGCCAAACGAAGAGGATGAAGAAGCAATCCAACCGCCATCCACATCACAAATTTCCCAATGCATGTCAACATCGGATCACACCGAGCCCGGTTGCAGTTCAGTTGAGCATGCACTTAACGAATACGTAAAAAATGCACCGTCTGACATGCATGACATATCTGTAAATATTGAATCGAGCGACCTGAAAACTGATATTTGCACCGTAATCGAACGTGCCGACTCAATGGAATCACTGCGTCTGAGCGGTTCGAGTGGAACAATTCGATCGGGTAGCACAGTGACTGGCTATGATTTTGACACGGTAAAAAATCTGAATTTGGACAGTTGTAGCACATCAAAACTCAGTCTATCGCTGAAAAGTGAGGGTTTTGATGAATTTACACTTACACCCGATGAACCAAAAATCATTCGAAATTGTGAAATCGAAGATTTTACGCTGACACCCGAAGCATCTTGCAATGAAGTCGTGCCAATGTGTTTGAGTACGATTGAAGAGCCGGAAAGCGGTGATTTTCATCATGGTGGCGAAACATTGCGCTCCGAACAATTGGGCGAAACGCCTCAGTCGGAGGTAATTGCTTCCACCGAGCCGACTGCCAAAACCAACGATGACGAATCAATATCGAGTAATGAAGTTGTGATGATTGTGGATAAATTTTTGGCCGGCGAACGATTACTACAGCAAAATTTGAGCATTGTCCCAGTTGATCCGAAAACATTTACAAGTCCCGTGATTTCGCCCATCGATTCGGATGCGTCATCGACAAATGCGCTAATCGAAAAGCAAAAATCCATTCTGTTCAATTTGCAAAGTAGCAGCAGTAAATCGACGCTAGACGATGCCATCGATTTCGATAAAATCAATTTTGACGAGGATTACGACGATGATTCAAAGCAGCAAAAGGAAATCTCAACATTTACCACGGAACTAACCAAAGAGTTTGATCTGTTGTTTAGCCGCGCCGAAAATGAGGCGGTGGTGCAAGATGAAGCGAATGCATCGTCAAATGGTGTTACACCGAAGAATGCGGCGAATTCAAGTGAAATGGATATGAAAGTCGCATCATCAGTAACACCAACCAATTTACATGCGGATTTAATGCGAGACTATAATCAATTTGGCATTGAATCAGATTCCTCGTCAACGCCAAAACCACTAACTCCCGCCCCAAATCGAATGCCAACCCGATATTCAATGCAAAAACTTGAACCGTACTTCTTTTCGGACGATGTGACCGGAAGCAATGATCATGAAAAAACCGCTGCCACCGTGTCCAATGCAAACGACTCCACCAAATTACCAACCAATGTCAATACAACAGCACTCGACGCAAAGAGTGACTATTGTAAGTTACTTGATACGACGACAACGCACGACGGTTCATTTTTGCAGAAGAAAATTCTATCGAAATTGAAAAAGAATAAAAGTCAATCGTTAGGCAATTTAAATAAGAAAAGCCGCTGTTTTCCATTGTAACAGCGGCATTTCAATTTTATTTGAATTGATTTATGTTTAGTTAGTCTCTGTTGTCTCTTTTTTTGGATTACAAATTTGAACGTTTTATTATGTGATTACTTTCAGTTCTGTTTCGTTGACGAATTTGTGCGAGCCAGCAGCATCGATTGCAGCTCATTCACAATTCAGTCAACGCACACACTGCACTCAGTGTTTTTCTATAAATAGGAAAACCAATATACACTTGTAAATTCATTTTACGATCAATTTTTGCAATTACCTTTTTTTCCGTTGACATTTTGTTGTTATGTTAGATAGTTTTTTTTCTTTCTTTTGTTGTTATCATTATTCTAATCCTTTTATCAATATTATTGTTATTATCATATGTTGATGTGATTTGAATTTTAGTTGACGATAAGAAATAATCAATAAAATTGAAAGGAAAAAACCACACTTTGTAAATGAAATCAATATTTATTAATTTTCATTGAGATGCAGAGCAATTAGGTTAAAATTTACAATAAATTACGATGATGTACGGTTACTTTTTTTTCAATATTTCCTAGGTTTTAGGCGTACATATTCATTTCATACAATTTTCATATATATATTTACGTAAAGCCAACAGAAAAAGAAAAGCAACATAGAGCTAGTCTCAAAATTTGAGACTCAAATCAACTGTAATTCGATGCAAAACAAAACGGTTTTGGTTTATATTTCAGAAACGTACCATGCGAATGCTTATGTTGGATAATTGAGTGTCCCTACTCTCCTCCAAGTGGAAAGATTAGAAAGAGAGTATAAAAGAATGATTAGAATGAGACGATAGGAAGCAAAAAAAAAAAATTGCGCAATCAAAAGGAATTTCAAAGGAATATTTATAGAAAATGGACCATTATATGGTCTGTAACTCTGTAGCACAAAATTAATTTGAAAAGCACACATTTATTGAAATCAAGAGAATTGATCGAAGAAACGTATTCGCAGAAACTAGAAAACTACTACCATTCATAAATAATGATCTTAGTTGACGCAAAGAATATGTAGAAATTAATTTGTAATTGAACGATGAAAACGGTGTCTTTTTCGCATCATTCGAATTTATGAACAGAAAGATTGTAGTCAAATTTTCAGAGAGCGATCCTCTATCCAAAAGCCATTAGATGAAATTGTTTTTTGTTTTGTTTTCTGTGACGATACAAACGGCGCCCACTTTAAAATATTTAAAATATATAATGTATACATAGAATTGAATTATATGCCGTACAAGATGAAAATGGATTCCTTTTAGTGGTTTAGAGGTAATAGTAATAAGAGCTTAAACTTCGAAATGAAAGCGTATTAACTCCGACTGTGAACAAAAAGAAAATTTATTGGCAAAACCAATTCCAAATCCATGCGCGCGCGCGCACATTCTATTTCACTCTCAACACCTCCAATGAACAAACTAACCTGAAAGGACGATTCAGTCAGCTACAATTCTATTTCAGTTTAAATATGTACAATTCTTGAAAAAGTATAGTGCCTTTCCATCACAACAACAACAAGAACAACAACAACAAAAATGAAGAACAAACCATGAAGAAAAGAAGCCAAAAATTCTTTCGAAATTATCTAATTGAATCATAATTAAAAATGATTTTTTTTCCTTTCAGCTGATAAATCATATGATTTAAATTTGTAAATAAAAGTCGCCGCCGTTTGTCGTTTTTTTTCTTGTTTCGTCTTGCCAAAACTGCAAGGAAAAGAGAGAAGAATTGAAGCAAATGCGAATATCGTCTTTGTAGCGCGATTCCGTTTCGAATATGATCGTTTCGAACGAGCGTACTCTGATTGAAACAACAAATGATCCTAGTGAAACGTAATTATTTGTCTCTCGTAATGAATTATTCTAAGTTGTTTGTTGGTCCAAATGTAAGCCTGAATATTTGCCGAAATTAGTTAGATGTATAATGTTGAGTATTTGTGAAAATTTATTAATGACAATTTTCTCTTCGATCGATATCAACACATGACACATCCCACACTTCATGCCCATACATATGTGAAACGTATATTTTGTCTCCAGCCAAACAAATGAAGCCAACGAGCTAAAAACACAACAACCATAGATATTAAACTAAATCTGCTGGTGTATCAATATTTACCATCGAAATCGAAATGATTTATTGAATACGATTCCATGCCGCCGGAATTTGTGTTTATTTTTCAGCGGTGATTACTCGAGAGAATTGATCAAGAATTGTCCAAGTCCGTTATTCAATGTATAATAAGTAGTTATTTATGAAAATACGCCAAAAGAAAATGAATCAAAGATAACAAGAAAAAAAAAACAAAGTCCAACCAAATAATTTAATTTCGAAATAAGCCTCGATCTATGCACGAACCAAATCTATATATATTATATATGTATAAACATATATTTTTGTTTACCCATCTCCAATTCAAAAAGGAAAATGAAAATGAAAAAACAACCATTTTGTGTGTATCGAATGAATGTATTTAGGTGTTATACAGTTACAAATTTGAAGAGTATTTAAAAAGAAACTGAAAAAAAGAAGAAATTAAAAGTAAATCAATAAAAATAGCAAATGAACGTTTAACCGAAGCGAATCAAATGAGAAGGACAATTAGTCGATACCACAACCACCCCAAAATCACAACAAACACAATATATGTGATTCGTTCGTTCCGCATTTCCGAATGTTGTCTATTTTCTTTCGATATAGAATCGCAATTGCACAATTTATGCTAAATCTATCTAGTCGGAAACCAATATCTCTCCTCATTTCAATATAAATAAATATACATTTAAATCTTATAATAAACACTAGGTAAATTAGGGAATCAGAAATTACGAAAAAAAAGAATACAAAACACACACACACACACACACTTTTTAATAGGAAGTATTACCGTACTTATATTTTACAACTAAATATTATTACTCTTAACTTTATTACTTGTAACTGTTCGGAGTAATTCTTCATTTCTGTCTGTATTTCTCATCGGATTTTCGGCTAAACCAAAAACTATTTTATATATTATTCGATTAGTTTTGATTATTTGTTGTTATAACTCTCTTTCTCCCATTCTCGATACTGTTCGGTTTCTCTTTTTTGTATTAAATAAGAATTCGTTGTTGTGGAATGAATGGAGTATTAAAAAATTTATTATCAGAAAAATTATAATAATAAAAAATAACAAATTTGAAACAAAATGAAAGCGTTAATTTCTAAATGAATCTCTCTTTGAGCAACCAACATACAAAAGAAAAAAAGAAAACAACTATGAAGAAAGATAGAAAAAATTGTATAAGTCAAACAAAAAATTATGTATCTTTGTGTATCTTCATTTGAATGTTTAGAAGTCGTTATTTATTACACCTAACAAAACACAGTGTTACTACTTTACACCGCGAATTTTATCAAATGATGAACAAATAAAAGAATAAAATGAAAGAAAAAATCTTTAAAAACCAAATTAAAGTCTAGTCGTAGCGCAAATAAATTAATTAAACAGCTGATCAAAAAGTGATTTGTGACGATTCGACACAAATTCATTTTCATTTGGTAAAACCAAAAAGTATTTATTACTAATCAATCCAGTGGTGATTCGTTTTTGTCAGCTTGTTGTAAATAAATGAATTTAAACAAACAAACCAAAACCAAAAACAAAAATTAGTCATTTGTATGAAACGAGATAAACAAAAACAAAAAAATCAAATAAAATAATAAAGAAAATCCCTTAAGCAAAAAAACCCCCTTCGTGTTGGTAATTTTATTTTTATCCTATCTTTTCGGTTTATGCAATAAGATAACATTTTTTCAAGTGCGACAATGAAATTATTGTTCGGTTCTGAAATGATGATAAAGTATGAATCGGTTGTGCAATTGCATAATCTATACCAGCCTTTAGAACATTTTGCACAACGAAACGAGAGCTTTAGCAATATGGTTGGTCGAACATCGTCGCCGTGTTGCCGAATATCACACAACACATAGACGCAATGGCGGAATGAGATGGGCTCGCACGTATGCGGTATATTCATTTGCGCAAACACACATTCGTTTGCCGAAAGAGATGAGCCATGTTGACGTTCTAATAGACTGTCTTCCATATTGGCCACATGGAATGATGTCGTTCGCATTGGATGGCCTACTACAATGCGGTCTCGCTTCGCACGGTATACACGAACACACGAACATACACATATACATACATACACACAAACATGCGCTCATCAACGCCAATGTCTCATCGTGAAGAATATGAAACCGAATAGAACGCGCTTAAAACGATGTGAATACACATTTCCAGCCATGAAAAATGAGACATACGTGTAGATCAAATATACAGCAAAAAATATATGCCACAAAAATGAAACCGACAAGAACCGAAATGAAAAAAAAAGAAGAAGCCGACGAACAGCGGCTCACGCACACAGCAACGCACGGCACACATACACACGCTATTACACACAGCCGACGCAGACACGCACACACTAGCCCAAATGTTAGTACCGAAAAAAGCCGCCAGCAGCAAGAACCACAGAGACAGCGAGCATTTAACACGCTTCTTCTTGTCAAACGGAAAGTTTTCGACACAGTGGTGGTGTGGTATTTTAGCTTGGTTGCATCTCCCAACAAATTTCTCGCTTGAAGCATTTTTTCCCCGTAAAAATTCGATTTAAAGAAAAAAGTTTTCTTTATTTTTGATTATTTTTTCGTTTTTGGGACAGTTTGTTTTCCATAAATCGGCAACAGCTGAACGTAATCAAGCGTGATACAACCGATAAAAAAAAACGTCTCACAAAAAAAACTGAATTATTTTTTTTGTGTGTAGTTTTGTGTTCATACATATTCTCTTCGTTAGACGACGTAGAGAGAGAGAGCAAGAGACAAAACGACAGAGAGAGAGAGACAACGAGTACCGTTTGCGCTAAAAGCGAAGCAACGCAGCAGAGCAAAAAGCAACAAAAAAACAAATAAACTAAAACCGAAGAAATATTTCTTTTCTTGTTCTTTGTGCAAGAAAAAGAGAAATAGCGACACATTTCGTACGCATACACACAAAACAAACGCGAAATACAGCGAAAAAAGATTTACTACGAATAAAAAATCAAACAGTCAAAGTTCGGGCAAAAAAACACTGTATTATTTTTTACTTTACATCAAATATAGTGGATATATTTTGGTAAGTCAGCTTTAATTTTTGGAACAATTCATTTCATTATTAATTTTTGTTTCATTTTTTACACATTTGATTGATTGACATTAATAAATAAAAGAAGAAAAAAACAGGGAAAAAGAAATTAAATATCGGCTTCGAAAAATCCGAATGTGAAAAAAGTGTTTGCTCTTAACCAAACTCAATTTTGTTGGTTAAGTTCAACTTTTTCTTCCCCTTTGCGTTCTTTCGCTTGCATTTTTGTTGGTTAAATTTTTTTTTCCCGGCGAGTTCGTTCAAGAAATTCTATTCGGGATTAATTAATTATATTTTTTTTTCGTCTCCTTTTCGTCAATTTGGTTTTATATTCTATTCTATTCTATTCTCTCTGATTCGGTTTGCGTTTCAATTGCACAACGCGGTGTGTGTGTGTGTTCCATTGATTCAGACGACTCGCGTCAAATTCGCTACCGATAAACAGGGAATTTTTTTTTCGATAGACAAGAGCGGAGGAAAAAAACGAAATTATGAGCACGGGGCAGGCTGTATATCCTATCGTTCATTTCGTAATATGTCATTTGAATGTAATGATTCAATAAAATAAACAAAATGACACACAATTCGAGCAAAGTCGCGTGAGAAACATGCTTTGCCATTTTGCTATTTAAGCTGAACATGGTAATTTTGTACACGTGGTTTTAGTTATGTGTATCTCTCTGGCCAGCAGAATAGCTTCGATTCAATTCAATTTCGTATTAAGTACATTTGATGCATCAAAACGGTGAATCGCTAGTAGTATTTAGAATTGGAATTAAATTATGTAGATAATTAGTTGGATGGCGGCATTTTGTTCAAAAGCGAAAATTTTAGAGAGAAAAAATGCATCAAAACGTTGCCGTAGGTTGCTTCTATTCGGCAGCGTCATCATTCGGGTTTTTTTTTTCGACAGCATCGCGCCATATGTACGAATCAGTTGAATTGAGCAAGAAAGATAGAGAGAGAGAGAGAGAGAGAGAGAGAGAGAGAGAGAGAGAGAAATGGCAGCATTCCGTATAAATTCAGCACAGATTTTTTTGTTCGGTCGTATTTGTTTAAATGCTGTTGCGAAAATATAAGGCTCGTGCAATAACTGACAACGCAACATCAGCACCATTTTGGTCGAAAAAAACCAAGAGAGACGAAATTATTGATTGTTTAATGTTGTGAAATACATGAGTTTTTGTGAATGCGATTCAAATGCATGCACGATATAAGCCGATATATTGATGTGTAGCTGAACCGTGTATTTGTTTTTTTTTTTGTTTCGCTTCTGCTTTTCATAATTCGTTCAAAGTCATGGTCAAAGCGAAAGCTGGCTCACCATTTGCACAACACGGTGTATTGTGTGTACTTGCCAATTGGATTGCGCATCGCACAATTAAATGTGTTTCTCTCGACTCTCTCTCTCTCTCTTACTCTCGTTTTGTTGTAACGATTGTTGGCGGCTCATACGCGGCATTTTCGGCAAAATGGACACATTTTTTTTTTGTTCGTTCGTTTGGCTTGTGTTTCTCCCATCAATAGAGTTCTCGCTCTCTTTTTTTTGCTGCCACTCATTCTTTCTCTTTCTCCAGTGTCTGTGTGTGTGCATGTGGATGTATCGAAATGCGCCATTTTAACATATGAAAGAGACGCCAATCCGACCTGTAATTTATTTTATCCATTGACGATACACATACATTCATTAGATATTAGTTGAAATTTTTTTTTCTCTCGCTGTCTGTCATCAAAAAAAAATCATTCCTCTTGTTTCGGTTTAATTTAATAAAGAAGAAATAAAAAAACAGACACACGCTTGAGACATCGACACCGAGGCACACAGAGAGCAAGCGAAAGAGAAAATTGAATAGAACGAATCTCAATTTACCGAATCAAAAAAGAAGAAGAAGAGGCGACGGCGACAATAACAGGATAAACGGCGGATGATTTCGCATTCTGTACATGTGTTGAACGTAAATTGCGTATAACACGAAGAAGAAAAAAACCGCTCGATGTATAGATACAGATACGAATATGTGTATATACACTCATTCTCATTCGCTGTCTCTCGTTGTGATTCATGCAAAATATTTACATGACAAAAGATACACATAACAATTACGAAATGTGCGCCTGGTTCCAATCTAAACAGCTTTTCGGTTTTCTGGCTTTGTTTGAAATTCAAATTAAAAGTGCTTGTGTGTTTGAAGCAACACACACACACATACAAATGCACGCACTATGGAACAAAAAGAATTATAAAAGCTGTGAAAAAAAAATTAAAACCATTGTCAAAAATATCGCTTCAAACTTGAGTACTCTCTCTCTCTCTCTCTCTCTCTCTCTCTCTCGCTCATTATCGTTTTTCTTTATTACTCAAAGGCTTTTGAAGTCGAGCAAGTACAATTTTGTCGCATGTGTGTGTGTCATGTCGGTTTTTTCTTGCTTCTCGTCTTTCTCTCACGCTTGCTTTGGCTGCACGAAAAGTGAATTGCGTGGTGAAATGCACAATAGCTGATTTGTTGGATGGCAAGTGATTTTTTTTTTGGTTTTTTTCTTCTTCGTTTTTCGTGTATGCGTGTTTCGGCGAATGCCGCTTTGCGGATTCTCGACTCTTTCTCTCGCTCGCTCGCTACAAGCAATGTCAGACGGGTCGAATGGGAGACGAGCGCGCCGGAGAGTGCTTAGTTACAGCAAAAGAACAGAGCGAGCACACGATGTGTATGAAAAATTGCATGGGATTTTTCTCTCATTAGCTCTAGAAATGCATGCTCAACATTGGTTGTGTTGAGCGAAACAGAGACGCGGCTTTAAATGTGTGTCATTCAATATGTGTGTTACATTCACGGATTGCCTCTGCACATTAGATGCCGGCAAACTGTGTGCGCCTGTATTTGTGTTGCATGCTCATGTGCACTCGAGCAATCGGTTCGGTTCTGCCAATTTTTATCTCTTCTTCTTCTTCATCCGTGTGCTTTTCATTTCGTCGTTGCGTGCGATTTTTTTCTTCTTCTTCTTTTTTGCCTCTTTTCCGTCGTCACTCGGTGTGTATATTACTCGGCTCATGGTGTGTATAGTGAGAGGCGAAGCAAATGTTTGCGGCTTTCCCTGTGTATGCCATGTATAAATCCGGTTTTTTTTTCCTGGCAAATGCATCGTTGTTGTTGGTGCTGCTGTTGCCGCCGTCATCGTCATCTTTCTCATCGTTTTGCATCAATTATATCTCGTTTTTTTCTACACTCACTTCATTCTGCACACTACGTGTATGTGATATCTGACCGATGTATTTTCTTACGTCCCTTATTCTTTTCGTTGTGCAACTGCAACGGATTTTATTTGCTCATACACACACACACACACTTTCTCGCTGTTCGCGATCACGAAAGCCGACTTCTTGGTTGTTATTCGGTTTTTTTCGGCAACAACTACTTTTCATCTCATTGAATGGTTAACCATTAAAACATTTAACGAAGAATAATATGAAAAGAAAGGAACAAACGTTAATAACACACGAATGCATGTTTAACGACAAGGAATCATGCGAAAAAAAGAGAATAAAATAAAATAAAACGGATACATGCGAAATCAACGCACAAAAGAAATGATACCAAACAAACGCACAGCGAAACGGAATGAAGAAAAAAAAGTCGTGCACGAAAAAATCGAGGAGAAGTGAAAACTTTTCGCAACAGGATCACCGAAACCATTGAATTGTTGCGCGTACACACAGTAAAAAGGAGTAGAAAGACAAACGATGAAAAGAAGCATACGCACAAACAAAAGCGGGACACAGAAAAAGCGAGAGAGAGAGAGAGAGTCAACGAAAGAGAAAAACCCGAAATTGCACAACAGCCGGTCGATTTAATTGTTGTATAGTTCTTGTATAATACGAAGATCGTGCAGCACTAACACAGAAAAGGAACCAGGTGCGAATCAAATTAAATGTGATGACTTAACGTTGATTCGATAATACACTGAACCAATGACGTTGCCACACTTTTCTGTTTGGCCATTGTTTGCATGTGAGAGCTGGTTCTTGTTCTTGTTCTTGTTCTTGTTCTTGTTCTCGTTCTCCGGTGTCTTACGCAAGGTTTTTCACGTTGGTACTCAATCTCTCGCGCGCGCGTTGGTCAATAGACATCGAGCAGCAAATGAACGAACAAAACCACGTCGTTGCAACGACTATTTGCTTTACATAAGAATTGTGCGCCCAAATCGAAAATAAAAAAAAACACTGCGATTCCTTTTCTGGTTAAGTTTGATAGCACCGAAGCCAGTCAAACAATACGAACAAACGATTTTGAATTTTATTATTTTTATTTTGCGCCCGGTTTTTATGTTCTACATCTTTTGTTCATTTTCAACGATTGTCCGAACGTATTTCGAATATAACCAAATTTCTAGTCTCGTCTCAATTCAAACATTTGATTAATTTTTTTTATTTTTCAGAAAAATGTCTTCAAGCGCATGCTACAAGTGCAACCGTCCGGGGCATTTTGCTCGTGATTGTCAAGATGGTGGTAGTGGAGGAGGTGGCGGCGGCGGTCGCAAGTAACTATAAAATCCAATTACAATTTTTGTTTGCTCGTGTGATGCGATAGTTTTGAGTTTTTTGAGAGTGTTGGTGTTTGGCGCCCAACAAAACAGTAGTCAGTTTATGCCCGATTTTTGGAAACACAGACCCATTGATATACCGAAGAAATGGATAATTGTTATAAGTGTAACTTGTTGTTTAAAGTTTGATTATCTTTCGATCGAATTTGTCAAAACCCAAGAGATAGCGAAGAAACATACATTTTTGTCTACGATCATTTGAATGGAACGCACGAACAACGACAACAACAAACTTAACTCCAATTACAATCTATTTCCGAATGAGAAAAACAAAACCGAAACATCAAAAATCCAACAAACGGCATAGATCGAAAATCATGATGTAGTGCGATGCGTTTGGTGTGGTCGATGGTGTTGCGCGCAGTTCCGCCGGCAAAAATTGTCGGCACATTTGTTTGTTTGTTTTATTTGGTAGTAACTGAGAAAGATTGAAAATGAATTTAGATAGAAAGTAGAATGAAATCGGCGTGATACGCTCGCAAAACAAAATATAACTGTAAGTGGTATTTTGTTACGCTTGTTCGATTTATCATAATTCCAACTGCAAAATCCAATTAAATCCTTTTCGTTTTTACAAATCGAATATTTCGTTTTCATAATGAGTCTATCAAAATAACCAAATGATTTTTCTTTAAATTATGAACACAATTCAAAGTTGTTCAATTCATTTTTGTTTTCAATTTTGATTTTCATTTGGAAAGACACGTATTCATTTCAAACTTGATTCGATTCAAATTTACAACGTGCATTTTTAATTATTTTTGTGTGTGTGTTTTTTTTTCGTTGCGACAGCTACTCGAGCAAGAGCTACAGCCGAGATGGTGGTGGCCGTGGACGTGATTTCGGTCGCAACCGTGAAAAGTGCTACAAATGCAACCAAATGGGTCACTTTGCACGGGAATGCAAAGAAGATGCTGATCGATGCTATAGATGCAATGGTAATTTATTTGCTTTGACACGGTTTTTTTCGGATTGAATTTCGGTTTTTCGCATTTTTGTACTCAATTGTTTCTTTTTTTTTATCGGAATACAGGCACTGGTCATATTGCACGCGATTGCAGCCAATCACCAGATGATCCATGCTGCTACAACTGCAACAGTAAGTATTCTGGTTTTCACGATCAATTTTCCATTAAATCGATTATATTTGTTTAAAACCAAATCGTTTTGCCTTTTCGCCTTTCCACAGAAACTGGTCACATAGCTCGTAACTGTCCAGACCAAGATAGACAACGTGAACGAGATCGCGAAGAGCGTGGATCAAGCGGCATGATGTGTTACATATGCAACAAGAGCGGCCACATCAAGCGTAACTGCCCAGAGGGCAGCCAAAAATCATGCTACAGGTTAATTATTTAAATGTTCTTTCCCGTTCGGAATTGCCAAAACAATTGCAATTAATTTTAATTGATTGGTTTTTCGTATTAATTTCAGCTGTGGTAAATCTGGTCACTTGAGCCGTGATTGCAATCAAAACGGTGGCCGAAATTAAATTTCCACAACACGCAAGCGATTATCAATCGAAGATTTCGGCATAACAACAACATCAACAACAACAAAAAAAAAAACAGAAGAAAAAAAACAAGCATCCATTGAAACAAAACAAATACACATAGAAGAGAAATTTCTTTTTTTTTTTGAATAAACTGGAAAAACCATTAAACCGAAATTGTCGAAATTTAACCTACACACGATCACACAGAAAATGCTAAAAAAAAAATATTTCACATTCAGATATATTTATAATTTGATGATGATAATGAAGAAGATAAAAAAATCGAGTAAAAAAACAACAATTTACAATGTGTATGATTTTTAGAAATGCATTCGTTTTTCGCCACAATACCTCCATTTCTTTTTATTGAAACAGAAAATAATGAACAAAAAAAAAAAAACAACAATAAAACATTTGAATTTAAAAAAACACAACAAAATTTAACCACAAAATGGAAAACAATCACACACACATACACGCAGAGTTTCACACCGAATATCTTAAGAGAACTGAGAAAATAACACACAAACACACAGACACGAGAGAAGAATAAAAAGATGAAGAAGAATTTAGATTTTTCCATATTCTTTATAAGAAAAATCATCGTGATATTACGACCACTTTGTATAATTTGTTACTTGAAAAAGGAGCGAAGAAGATAAAGAAAAAATGGGGAGAAGAAAAAAATAGAAGTAAAAGAAAAACTTAAACTATAAAAGCATTTTAAAATATTCATTTAGAAGTTAAAGGAAAAAACAAATTTGACAGTTCATGGCAACACACACACACACACACACACAAAAATGAGAATTGAAGCACATAAAAAAACGAAAAGAAGAAGAAGAAATCAATATCATGGCAAGAAATTATTTTATTTTTTTTTTCATTTTTTCAACCACTCTCACACACGTCAAAACTCATTTACATGAATAAAAAGAAGATGAAGAAAGAATAAAAACATTTGATTTTGAAAAAAAAAAAGTAAAACAAAAACGATTATAATTAAAAGAGAAAGAAAAATGAATAAAAATTTAAAATTAAACACTCGGTCCGAATACTGTGACCAATGATTGTCGATCGGATTGACATGTGAGAGACGCAATCATTGCGAGAAATCATTTGATAGAAACATGCAACGCTATATGAGTACGTTAAACGTTAATAATTGTAAACAAACATACAGAACAATTCCTGCTGAACAAGAAGAGAAAAATAACGAAATAAAAAAAGTTGAATTTACAAAACAACAACCAGCCACTGCATAAAGAATCGCGTAAAAATTGAAAGGACATTTCACATTAAGTGGTTCTTAATAAATAGCAAAATTAATGCAAAACGACTGATGAGGGCGAGGCGATGATAAACAGGTTGACAACGACGAGACAGGTGCCGACAAACTGATGAATAAATAGACCGACAGACACAGCCACAAATACACACCGTAAACACGACACAAATTTATGTTACAGCAAATAAATGAAAAGTCGAACGAAACAGAATGAAAGAAAAAAAAAATCACAGAAAAAATGATTGAAATAATAATTAAAAAAAAAAAAAATTTGAAAAAGTGCGCGAAGTAAACACCGACAAAAAAACACACACTCACACACAGTTCATAACGATGGTATGCATATGGTAAGGAACAGAACAGAGCAAAGTAGCGAGCGCAGCAATGCGATTTATGACAGGTTATAGACTTAGAGTCAAAACAGGCACATAACACACATACACAATAGGAGTAGATGACATGGTGAATGAACATGTAACGAGATGAAGAAAATAAGAAATAAAAAATTTATATTTATATTTAAAAAAAAAAAAAACAAAACAAAACAAAACAAAAAAATACGAAAGGAAATATGTCAAAAAATAACAACAACAAATTGTGCGAAAGTATTGTTTTCAAACACTCTAACAAACAAACAAACAAACAAACAAACAAGAAGAACATGAGAAAGAAGTCATTACTATTAAAACATTATTTATAGGAATGAATTGGGTGCCGAAACAGCACTGACATGAAGCAGGAATTCGCGACATTACATTAGTATGTGAACGGTGAAGAACACGAGAGCATATATTAACAAAGCAAATGAGAAAACAAAAATGAAATTTTTAACTGAAATAAATTGATACTGGTATTTACTTCAAACACACCAAAAAAAAACATAATTCATCAAATCCTGTAGTTTTCCTTTTCTTTATATATTTAATTTGCTTTTCTTAAAGAGAGAAAATTGCAAGGGTGAATTGATTGATCCACCGCTTGCGACACGTGTTGTCATTATTCAGTCACACATTTCGGCTATGTATTTATTTTGGATGGTCCACACACATTGGACACACACAAAAAAACAAACAAATTGAGTAAGACAAAATAGACCGAACAAAAAAAAAACGAGACGTTTCTTTCGCAATTCGTTAAATAGCGATCGAATATGCGGATTAAGCGAGAAAAGGAGTGAACATAACATGTTTTTTTGAATTGAAAACGGGTGAGAACTTTATATAAGCATTAGCTTAGGACTCAGGATCACGAAAAAAATCCTTCTTTTTACTATATTATGCCTCCCAGAAAAGAGAAGGTGACATTGTTGTTGTTTCAACATCGAACTCATGCTGCTTACGTTTCATCTTTTAATTGTAAGAGATAATAATAATTTTTAATGAAATGAAAGAATAAAAAAAAAACAAAACAAAAATCACAAATGCAGATAAAAACTTAACAAAATAAAATAAATACACAAATAACACTGTCGAAACATATATATTTTGAGTCGGTCGCATATGTTATTAACACGAAAAAGAACACACACACACATACAAAAATCTACAAATAAAAATACAAAGATTTCCGCTATTTGAGACGAAAAGCCAATTTATAATATGCATTGTTATTAAGTGGTGGAATTCGCGAAATAAAATCGATTGAAATTTAATGGACATTTTGCAATTTGCTTTTCATTTTTATTTCCCTTTTTTTCGTTCAATTTTGGATCATACAATGGACATTTTAGCTAAGATTTATCGATATGATCTTGATATCTTCGTATGGTTTGTCGGTTTTTGGATTCGTTTTGACATTACAAATATTCTGCACCACTTCCATTCCCTTTGTCACTCGACCGAACACCGTATGCTTGTTGTCCAACCAGGGCTAAAATATCAAATAAAAAAATTTCCATTAAAATATTGACTTTTCTTACGCTGTCAAGAGTCTGTCTGACTCTATTCGGCGTTCTTGAAATTTGTTCTAAAAGAGTAACACATACCGTTGGTAAAACAGTAATGAAAAACTGGCTGCCGTTTGTGTTTGGTCCGGCATTTGCCATCGAAAGCGTGTACGGTCGATCGTGTCGCAGCGATGGATGAAATTCATCTTTGAAATCACCCCCCCAAATTGATTCGCCTCCAGTACCCGTTCCCGTTGGATCGCCCGTTTGCACCATGAAACCCTTGATCACACGATGGAAAATGTGACCATTGTAATATCCATTCTTACTATGCACACAGAAATTCTCCACCGATTTCGGACACTCGACACCAAACAATTTTATATGAACATCTCCGCGCGTTGTGTGTATCGTAGCCGAATTGTATAGCTTTTGGTAACCTGCCGAAGAGTTGAGAGACAAAAAAAATGGGATTTGTTAAAAATGCGATTCAATCGAAGAGATTAGGTAAGATTGTGAACTATACCTTGACCCTCTGGCACAGAGATGATGTCTTCCTTTGATGGTTTCTCATTAAACACATCTCGGTCAACATTCTGCAGATCAGATGGCATTCGCCTGCTGTACAAGTAAAAGCGTGGTTTTCTATAGAAGAAAAATGAAATTTTACAAATTAACCACATTTCCATGTACTGAATCATTCGGCGAGAGAATGAATGAGAGTCAAAATTTTATGTTGACAAAAAAAATCAAAATTTGTTAATTAACCAATGAATTACTTGAATGCCGTGATAAAAAGTGTTGGATCGGCGCTGGTTTGTGCTAAAATCGGATTCTCCGATCCTTCTTGTTCCAATGACAAAGCCGCCTTTGGTTTCTTTGCTCGACCTTGAAAGAGGCCAACATGCAACGGTCGTAAATTGTCACCTTTTCCAATGATTTTAATGCAACGATTCGTCTCAATGTTAACCAGTTTGATGCCAATCATTGTTGGATACAAAATGAAGTGACCACTGCAATCGAATTGGATGTTTGCCAAATGAAGCGATTCCGATTTTTCCAATTCACGTTCGGTTGCCATTCTGGAAGTTCGACATTGTTAATTTAACATTTATTTAATCATAAAAAAAATTATGTTTCCTTCAAATTTTGAAAGAAACGGTATCGAATTTAAAGAACCGTGTCCCGTTTTGTATGGAGCTTGGGCCATTTTGTACAGAGTTCTAATGCATATCATCTTAAAGGGTATTGTGTGTAGATAAATTATATATAGATACCCAACCCCTAAATTGTGAGGAAAGGGGTTAAAATTGGGAATATGTTGGCAACCCCAAAATAAAGGTATCACTTCCCAGGGCCAT